CACTCAAGCTGTTAACCAATATTTCCCTAACGTGCCTTTTACTGCTACATCAGCCTTTGTGGCTACTTGGGACAGTGTGCCGTACTACAGTGATGAAGGGGTAAGACCTAATCTCTGATTTTTGATAAATGCTCTATGTGTGCTTTCTGTTCTGAAATTTTTGTTGTTGAAATCTTTTTTGTTGTTGTTGTCTGAAGTTGGTTACTTTCCAAGTGGTTTTAGTCTCCAATGGTGAACGCTCTTTCATCCTGATCAACTATGGGGATATTGCAGAAACAGGACAAGTTTGGCTGGTGAGTGGAGTGAAGATCCATACACAATTTACAATTAGCAGAAATGAATAACAAGGACTTACTTATGCCCCAATTCATACCTTATCTATAAGCAAGAGATGTTTTTATTTGGAATAGGATTTGATTGAGGTTTTACATGCTCTTTTTTTCTGTTACAGGCTGGTTATGACACAGTGGACTCTGTCAATTCTTTCACAATTCAAGCAGACAGTGCCCCAAAACTCTCATACAGCAGTAGACGTGGTAAATCCCATTTCAGATGATGGAAGCTCTGAAGCCATTTACTTGCAGCAGCCTTTCAAATACTTTGGACGCACATACAATCAGATCTATGTAAGCGTTGGACTATAACTTTTTGGTTGAGGATATTTTTCTTTTCATTACATCAATTAATTACACAAATTACACAGCCTTCAGTAAACAGATTTTACTCATGTTTAAGTGTACAACTTGATGTTTTTAAATATCTTAAATATCTTTATTTTCAGTGGTAGTAAATAATTCTACAGCAATTTGATCTGAATTTTAGGTCAACAACAATGGTCACCTGACTTTTACTCAACCACTGTCTGCCTACGTTCCTTATCTGAACGCTGGAATAGACATCATTGCTCCTCTGTGGACCGATCTTTTCAATGTAAACGGTGGAACTATCTCCTATAGAGAGGATACAAGTAGCGCTGTACTGGCACAAGTCACTCAAGCTGTTAACCAATATTTCCCTAATGTGCCTTTTACTGCTACATCAGCCTTTGTGGCTACCTGGGACAGTGTGCCGTACATCACTGGTGGAGGGGTAAGAACTAATCGCTGATTTTTTATGAATGCTCTCTGTGTGTTTTCGGTTCTAAAATTTGTCAAACGTTTTTTTGTTGTTTTTTGAAGGTGGTTACTTTCCAAGTGGTTTTAGTCTCCAATGGTGAACGCTCTTTCATCCTGATCAACTATGGTGATATTGCAGAAACAGGACAATCTTGGCTGGTGAGTGGAGTGAAGATCCATACACAATTTACAATTAGCAGAAATGAATAACAAGGACTTACTTATGCCCCAATTCATACCTTATCTATGAGCAAGAGATGGTTTTATTTGGAATAGGATTTGATTGAGGTTTTACATGCTCTTTTTTTCTGTTACAGGCTGGTTATGACACAGTGGACTCTGTCAATTCTTTCACAATTCCAGCAGCCAGTGCCCCAGAACTCTCATACAGCAGTAATATCAATGTGAATGGTCGCTGGTCTTTCCGTGTTGATGGTTCGCTAAACTGTAAGCCAAAGAGTTGCCCGTTTGTCTGCAACATAAAACTAAAATGTTTAACCATTGCCTTTTAAGAACTTATGTTCCTTTGGAAGATCTAAACAATTCATTGACGCTTCAACTTTTACTAGTGCCGGCTAATTTCTTGCCGTTTGGGAACGGAGACGTGGTAAATCCCATTTCAGATGATGGAAGCTCTGAAGCCATTTACTTGCAGCAGCCTTTCAAATACTTTGGACGCACATACAATCAGATCTATGTAAGCGTTGGACTATAACTTTTTGGTTGAGGATATTTTTCTTTTCATTACATCAATTAATTACACAGTAGTATTTTCCTTCAGTAAACAGATTTTACTCATGTTTAAGTGTACAACTTGATGTTTTTAAATATCTTTTTAAAATGAATGTTTAGTGGTAGTAAATAATTCTACAGCAATTTGATCTGAATTTTAGGTCAACAACAATGGTCACCTGACTTTTACTCAACCACTGTCTGCCTACGTTCCTTATCTGAATGCTGGAATAGACATCATTGCTCCTCTGTGGACCGACCTTTTCAATGTAAACGGTGGAACTATCTCCTATAGAGAGGATACAAGTAGCGCTGTACTGGCACAAGTCACTCAAGCTGTTAACCAATATTTCCCTAATGTGCCTTTTACTGCTACATCAGCCTTTGTGGCTACCTGGGACAGTGTGCCGTACATCACTGGTGGGGGGGTAAGAACTAATCTCTGATTTTTTATGAATGCTCTCTGTGTGTTTTCGGTTCTAAAATTTGTCAAACGTTTTTTTGTTGTTTTTTGAAGGTGGTTACTTTCCAAGTGGTTTTAGTCTCCAATGGTGAACGCTCTTTCATCCTGATCAACTATGGTGATATTGCAGAAACAGGACAATCTTGGCTGGTGAGTGGAGTGAAGATCCATACACAATTTACAATTAGCAGAAATGAATAACAAGGACTTACTTATGCCCCAATTCATACCTTATCTATGAGCAAGAGATGGTTTTATTTGGAATAGGATTTGATTGAGGTTTTACATGCTCTTTTTTTCTGTTACAGGCTGGTTATGACACAGTGGACTCTGTCAATTCTTTCACAATTCCAGCAGCCAGTGCCCCAGAACTCTCATACAGCAGTAATATCAATGTGAATGGTCGCTGGTCTTTCCGTGTTGATGGTTCGCTAAACTGTAAGCCAAAGAGTTGCCCGTTTGTCTGCAACATAAAACTAAAATGTTTAACCATTGCCTTTTAAGAACTTATGTTCCTTTGGAAGATCTAAACAATTCATTGACGCTTCAACTTTTACTAGTGCCGGCTAATTTCCTGCCGTTTGGGAACGGAGACGTGGTAAATCCCATTTCAGATGATGGAAGCTCTGAAGCCATTTACTTGCAGCAGCCTTTCAAATACTTTGGACGCACATACAATCAGATCTATGTAAGCGTTGGACTATAACTTTTTGGTTGAGGATATTTTTCTTTTCATTACATCAATTAATTACACAGTAGTATTTTCCTTCAGTGAACAGATTTTACTCATGTTTAAGTGTACAACTTGATGTTTTTAAATATCTTTTTAAAATGAATGTTTAGTGGTAGTAAATAATTCTACAGCAATTTGATCTGAATTTTAGGTCAACAACAATGGTCACCTGACTTTTACTCAACCACTGTCTGCCTACGTTCCTTATCTGAATGCTGGAATAGACATCATTGCTCCTCTGTGGACCGACCTTTTCAATGTAAACGGTGGAACTATCTCCTATAGAGAGGATACAAGTAGCGCTGTACTGGCACAAGTCACTCAAGCTGTTAACCAATATTTCCCTAATGTGCCTTTTACTGCTACATCAGCCTTTGTGGCTACCTGGGACAGTGTGCCGTACATCACTGGTGGGGGGGTAAGAACTAATCTCTGATTTTTTATGAATGCTCTCTGTGTGTTTTCGGTTCTAAAATTTGTCAAACGTTTTTTTGTTGTTTTTTGAAGGTGGTTACTTTCCAAGTGGTTTTAGTCTCCAATGGTGAACGCTCTTTCATCCTGATCAACTATGGTGATATTGCAGAAACAGGACAATCTTGGCTGGTGAGTGGAGTGAAGATCCATACACAATTTACAATTAGCAGAAATGAATAACAAGGACTTACTTATGCCCCAATTCATACCTTATCTATGAGCAAGAGATGGTTTTATTTGGAATAGGATTTGATTGAGGTTTTACATGCTCTTTTTTTCTGTTACAGGCTGGTTATGACACAGTGGACTCTGTCAATTCTTTCACAATTCCAGCAGCCAGTGCCCCAGAACTCTCATACAGCAGTAATATCAATGTGAATGGTCGCTGGTCTTTCCGTGTTGATGGTTCGCTAAACTGTAAGCCAAAGAGTTGCCCGTTTGTCTGCAACATAAAACTAAAATGTTTAACCATTGCCTTTTAAGAACTTATGTTCCTTTGGAAGATCTAAACAATTCATTGATGCTTCTACTTTTACTAGTGCCGGCTAATTTCCTGCCGTTTGGGAACGGAGACGTGGTAAATCCCATTTCAGATGATGGAAGCTCTGAAGCCATTTACTTGCAGCAGCCTTTCAAATACTTTGGACGCACATACAATCAGATCTATGTAAGCACTGGACTATTTCTGTTTGGTTGAAGATAGTATTTTCTTTTTTATTATATCAGTTGATTTATTATGGGCAGTTGTGGCCTAATGGTTTGAGAGTCGGACTTGTAACACAAAGGCAGTGGGTTCGAGTCTCGATACTGGCAGGAATTGTAGGTGGGGGGAGGGAATGACCAGCACTCTCTTCCACTTTCAATACCACGACTGAGGTGGGATCCTTGAGCAAGGCACTGAACCCCCAACTGCTCCCTGGGTGCCGCAGCAAAAATGGCTGCCCTCTGCTCCGTGTGTTTTCACGGTGTGCGTGTTCACTACTCACTGCTGTGGGTGGGTAGCCACTTGGATGGGTGAACTGTAGAACAAAAATTCAGAGTATGGGTCACCATACTTGGCCACACGTCACGTCCTTTCCTTTCCTTTTCCATCACTTACTTATCATTGTCATTATATTTCTTTAGTTTTCTCATTTTGAGTTTTCTTGTTTAGTCTTTTCTCATGTTTAAGTGAACAACTGAATGTTTTTAAACCTGTTTGCAAATTGAATAATACTTTTGAGAGGTAAAGGATAATTTTACAGCAATTTGATCTGAATTTTAGGTCAACAACAATGGTCACCTGACTTTTACTCAACCACTGTCTGCCTACATTCCTTATCTGAACGCTGGAATAGACATCATTGCTCCTCTGTGGACCGACCTTAACAATGGCAATGGTGGAACTATCTCCTATAGAGAGGATACTAGTAGCGCTGTACTGGAACAAGTCACTCAAGCTGTTAACCAATATTTCTCTAATGTGCCTTTTACCGCTGCATCAGCCTTTGTGGCTACCTGGGACAGTGTGCCGTACTACAGTGATGAAGGGGTAAGACCTAATCTCTGATGTTTTGATAAATGCTCTATGTGTGCTTTCTGTTCTGAAATTTTTGTTGTTGAAATCTTTTTTGTTGTTTTTGTCTGAAGTTGGTTACTTTCCAAGTAGTTTTAGTCTCCAATGGTGAACGCTCTTTCATCCTGATCAACTATGGTGATATTGCACAAACAGGACAAGTTTGGCTGGTGAGTGGCGTGAAAATCCTTACACAGTTTACAATTAGCAGAAATAAATGACAAGGAATTACTTATGCCCAATTCATTCCGTATTTGTATGCAAGAGATGGTTTTATTTGGAATAGGATGTAATTGAGGTTTTAAATACTTCTCTTTACTGTTACAGGCTGGTTATGACACAGTGGACTCTGTCAATTCTTTCACAATTCCAGCAGCCAGTGCCCCAGAACTCTCATACAGCAGTAATATCAATGTGAATGGTCGCTGGACTTTCCGTGTTGACGGCTCAGCAAACTGTAAGCTTTAAACTGTTTTCTCTGTTTTAGCATATTGTTTTCATTGTGTAAATACAATGGCTACAGTCTTCAGCCATTTTGATGTACTAGTATACTTTAACACATATGGTTAGGTCAAGATCCAAATCAATGCATGCTTTCATGTTTTTTTGTGCAATTGTTTTCTTTTCTGTTATAGTTTGTGATACTTGCACTGAATATGAGGCTTGTCAGCAGAGAAGCGGTGTCTTTGGCTGTGTTTGCCTGGATGGACAAAGACCAAATCCTGAAGTCTTTGGTGAGTGCTCTCACACTTGTTGTGCATTCGTACTGTACATTCATCTAAAAAGCTTTCATACGCTCACATTAAAATGTGCTCTTGTCTCATTCTCTCAAAACTGAATCCATTAATTGGAAAAATATTACGTCATTTTGTGTGATTAATATGGACTGTTCAAAGCGTTAAGAATAATTAACACAGTTAATGGATCTAGCTCTGAAAAGCACACCTCTTCCAACCGAGAATGGTCAATATGTACTCTGTGCACTTATCAGACCCACTTTTAGGACACCAACACATGTCCTTCTCTGTCTGACTATGGATTGATTTATTCTTGACTCAAAGATTAAACCACAAAGGTGTTAGTGTAGATACAGTGATAGAAAAATAATAATAAACAAAAATAGTAGTTTGATAGCTGCAATTTTCTTCTTAAATGTTTAAAATTATGGTTTTGATACAGAAGTCTTCAACCTAGAGACCAAATATCTTGCATAGTTTAGCTCCAACCCTAATCAAACTGTCACGTGTAGAGAAATACATAGGAGAAAAATGAACAGAGCAACTACACTTTACCATAAACGATACCGGACAGAGAAACTGAGAAGGGAGGGAGGGAGCTTTGGAGGAGGACCCAGAGTCTGTGAAGAGCAGGAAACCGTGGAAAATAATGGGTGGAGAGACCAGGGTGGCAATGACGGAGATAGGAGCCAGGAGCAGGAAGAGTCAGAAGGGGACCCAGAGTACAGCCAGGAAGAACGCCCACTGTGGTGTTGAGGAAACTCCTAAGGACTGTCCACCAGGAGACATGCCTTGGGCCACTCACTGAGGCTGGTGTAGTAAAAAAAAAATGCAGAGTGAGCGGTCTGGATAGTTCTTAAGCCACACCAGATCTAAAAAGTTTGAGTTGAGTGTAGTTCACCAGTAAACGGTCCTTCTTTTCAAGGCAGAGCAGTTGGAGGCCAGCAGGTCCATAGGTGTGGGGGAGAAAATAACTGCAAAAATAAATCTGATTTGGAGGTCCAGTATTCTATCACGTGTAGTATAACACAAACAATTCAGAACGCAGGCAGAAAGTCATTTAATAATAATTCAAGAGAAATACTAAGAGGAAAAATTAACAGGTCAGCTACACTTTACCATAAATGATATCAGACAAAGAAACTAGGAAAACTGAGGCCCGGTCCACACGGAAACGCGTTTAGCTGTATACGCATAGATTTTGTATCGTATAGGCGTTTCGTCCACACGGATCCAGCGTTTTGGGAGAGTGAAACCGATATTTTTTGAAACCGGGTCCCAGAGTGGATAAAT